GGGTCACGCGAAACATTTGTGAAACAGTTTTCTAAAATAAAGACAAAACTTATGTTCTATCAATATCGGATAATTACTTTAGTTATCTGTAACTTTCTATCAAGTTTTCAGCAAATTACCAACACCAACAAGTATGTTTTTTAGCCTTTTTTTAATTAAAAATTAGAATCCTTATCTCTCTACACCAAAATATTATTTGAACAAGAGTTTAAAACACCCTGTGGAATATTTAAACAGAGTAACGAATTTAAAAAGCGCTCAGTCATCAAGGTGCATGTTTTTTCGATAGTCTGTTTTTTGATTAATCTAAATACTTACTAGTTTTATTTTTACTGGATATTATGGCTTTTGCAAATGACAGTAAATATTTCTGACTCAATAATTTGTAGTTATTAATAATTAATTATTATTAATTATATTATTAGTAATTATAATTACATCCGATACGCTACTGAAGCAGGTAAGTCAGATTGACGTATTTAAATTCTTTGACATTTAATATTTGACAAGTAGTAAATAAAAGCAAAATTGCAAGAAAAAATATATAATTAGCTAATTTTAAGTGAATGAAATGATCGGTTTACTACACGTATTTATACTATACAGGGTAGTCCGAACTGTATTCAGGAAACTTCTTCAGCATATTTTGCAGATAAAAATAAGTAAAAAAGTTCGTATAAATGTATGTTCTAAAACGCTTACTTTGGGAGATACAGGGTATAGAAGTTTCATTTTTATTTCAATTTTTTTCCATATAATTTCTGAAGTAACGTCACTATTTGGATGAAAATTTGTGTCTGGTTGTTTTTCGACATGATAAATTTGATTTTGTTGTTAATATGACTCCAATTTGTAGAGGGCGCCACCTACATGTGTTTGTTTTAACTGTTTTGAAGAGTAATAACTTTTCTCGTACCTGTATAAAACTACTGAGTGAAAAAATATACATTTCCGTGACTTTTTACGTAAAAAATGTCTCTTGGTAAAAATCGCTACGAACAACCGTTCTCAAGATAGTTAGAATTGAAATAGTCAATACATGTCATTATTAACATAATACCGTATGATCGAAAAAAAATGGCGTCCAGTTGGCTGGGAAATGACGATCGATGACATTTCCCATATAAATTTACATATAAAATGACAGCGATCTTCATTTCATAGCCATCGCTGACGCCGTTTTTTCTCGATCATACGGTATAAACACGTTGAGTAGGTAATTATCTTACTGAAAGAATAAATTTGGGAAATTTTTATTTTTTTAAAACAATCATAAATTTTTCTTCGAAAAAATTATGATAAACAGTTTCTGTTGAACTTTTGGCATAAAAACATTTCAAATTTATGATTCAGTCTAATAACTATTTAGTGAACATGTTTAATTTATATCAACGATGACAGGTATTGATAATTTCGATTCCAAATATCTCGAGAACCATTAGTAGCGGTTTTTACCAAGAGGCCTTTTTTACGTAAAAACGTCATAAATGTATATTTTTTTACTCAGTAGTTTTATACAGGTACGGACGAAAAGTTATTGCTCTCGAAACCAGTTAAAAATATGTAGGTGGCGCCCTCTACAAGTAGGAGTCATCATCATCATTATCATCATTTAGCTTATACCGTCCACTGCTGAACAAAAGCCTCCCTTAACTCTAGCCATTTCCTTCTATTTTGTGCCACTTGAATCCAGTTTCCAGCCACCCTCTTAATGTCATCTGTCCATCGACTAGGAGGCCGTCCTCTGCTTCTATAGGCCTCGTGTCTCGGTCTCCATTCCACAAGTCTCTTTGTCCACCGTCCATCTGTCATCGTGAAAAGTTACTCCATTATTTCCCTCGATTTTTGACCAAGATCTACCGCACGCTACACAACCAACTAGTTTACAGTCTTTTTCGATAAATCGCAATAGTGTCACTGTTAATTTAAATTCTGCCAATTTCCTTCGAGATTTACTACCCCTAAACAACTAACAGTTGTAGAGTAAATAATAAATAACATAAAATAAGCTCATTAAAGACTGACAAATCCACAAAACTTCAAATTCAAATGTGTAATTGTATTAAAATATATTACTGCTTTTAATTATTTTTTAATAATTTATAATATATTAGCTTTCATAAGAATGCCATGTAAATTTAAATATACATTTTGTTTCTTTATTGTTGGAAACAGAGGTAATGAGAAACACCGTTTACAATTTCAAAGCGAGTGATTCTAATTAATTATTATTCAGTTTGTCACCTGTGGCGTGCGCCAACCATGATACACTAGAATACTAATTGACATAAATTAAACACCACGCTGATTTATATTGTATTTAAAAAACTCATTATAAGTTAGTGGGTAAAAAACAAGGTAAATCTATATAATTAGAATTAGTGTGATCGTAATTTTTTACTTAAAAAATTATAAGCAGAAGACATCATCATCATCGTTTCCAGCTTATTCAACCATTTCCAATTATGTTGTTGCCTCCCTCACATATTTAGATACTTTCTTTGTAGTTGGGCCCATTGTTGTCTATACGGGCCCAAGTTATCACTGCTAATTTCCTAATATCATGGTCCCTCCCATCTCAGGTTTGGCCTTCTTCTAGGTCTCTTAATTCCTCGTGGGTACCATGCTGTAATTTTTGTGGTTCATCCTTCTTGCCAGGTGTCCTGCCCATTGCCACTTCAGGGATTTGATTCCTGTGGATGGCATCTATTACCTGCGTCTTTTGTCGTATCCACTCTATTCTTTTACGGTTTTTCTTGGTTATTCCCAGCATATTTCATTCCATTGAACGTTGTGCGACCTGCAGTTTCCTTATAATGTCCGTTTTAAGTGTCCAGGTTTCGCATGCATATAGGTCATGACTGGTAGTACACATTGGTCGAATGTTTTCTTCTTTAGATAAAGTGACATTCTAGAGTTGAATCATTTCCATAAGTACTCCATGCTAACATAATTCTTCTGTTGATTTCTGGCAGTAGAGATCCCGAGCTGTGTATTAGATGTCCCAAATATGTACTCTACTATTTCAAGTGTTGTGTTATTACAGTTGAGGGTTGGAACCTTTGGTGTTACACAGCGAAATAAAAACACTAAATCACCACAATACACCAAAAACACTTTTACTTTTACACTGGACGCGCGTTTCGCTAACCATGTTAGCATCATCAGCAGATGATTATAAACTCAGTTTAATAATCAGTTATAATTTAACTCAGTTTAATAATCACTTATAATCATCTGCTGATGATGCTAACATGGTTAGCGAAACGCGCGTCCAGTGTAAAAGTAAAAGTGTTTTTGGTGTATTGTGGTGATTTAGTGTTTTTATTTTGCTGTTGTGTTATTTATTAGAATGTATTTTCTGTCCACTAGCTCGTTGCACATTACTTTAATTTTTGCTAAATTAATTTTGAGAACCGATTTATTGCTGGCTGTTTTTAGTTCGTTAATTTGTGCTTGTATAGTTCTTCAGGACTACAAGAGTAATAAATTTATGAGTAAAGTAACATAAATGCATGAGATCGAGATTTTGAGTCTTTTTACTTTTTAATTCTAACCAAAAAATGATCTAGACAATTTTTTCTTATTATGATTTATTAGCAATTAGAATATTTGCAAGGAAATTCTATGGGCTAAATGTTTTTTACTCCGAGTTTGAATGACTTCTTTGACGTTTGACGGAATTTTTAAGTCTTCATGTAGAGTATGACTGGAGACATACCATGGTGCGTCTGTTATCATCCGTAGAATTTTAGACTGGCTCCTTTGTATTATGGCTATACAGGGTGGCCCATCGAAAACGTTCCGCAAGGCATAACGGCCAGGATATTTATTTTTTCAAAAAATCCAAAAACACGTCAATTTTGTTTGTGAGGGGGACAACTTTTGCCCCAAAAATGATTGAAAAATCTTCAACCCTCTAAGCGGGGGTGTCATCCCCCAACTTTTTTCAAATGTGAAGGGGGTCAAGTGGCGCCGCAATGAAAAGAGCTTTCTATTCTCTATATTTCCCCGCTTCGTTTTTGAAAATCGGTCGAGTCATTGAGAAAATATGAAGGATTGAAATTTGAAAAGTTTATTTAAACATTTATCAGAGTGTTAGTTATTTTTTTTTATTTATTTTTTATTACGCATTTTTTCACTTGCCACAAGGTTGAACGATCAGGTGCGGTCTCAATATCGTTAAACTGACCCACAATAGAATTTCCAAAAATACCAGACCGCGACGATCAAAATCGTCTTCGTTGAGTTCTTGTACCAACTGAATTTTGTACGGGTGGAACTTGTGTTTTTTAATATCCTTTGAACACTTGCACGATACACGCCGGTCTCATTGGCTAATTTTCTTGTACTCAGCGTACAACTTAACAAGTATAGCTAGAGACGTGAGAAATATAAAATATATATTTGTCCAATCTTGGCAACTTGGCCCAATACGAATACCTCCATAGCTTCATTTACTACAGGATAGATACTTTTCCCTCTGCCTCTTTTTATTCATAACGGAACCAGTTTTGCGAAATTTTGCTACTAACTCTCGAACAATTTTGCCATAAAGGTGTTTGTCAGGATGGCGTTCATTGAATATCTGCGCAACCCGATTGCCACATTCATTATTTTTAAAATAAAGTTTGATTATTTCCACATTTTCTACAAGTGAGTACACCATAATTGTTAAAAAGTTTAACAATATTGAGAAGAACTTCAACGCACAAGTCACAGAACAGCTATCTAGCAACTACCGCACCTGATCGTTCAACCTTGTTGCAAGTGAGAAACTGCATAAACATAAGGACATAGAGTAGTGGTACTAGGACACTTATGGAACACCTGCATTTAGGCTGTAATTTTTAGATATATCCTCACCTATTCTGACTCTAAACATACTCTACCATTTAGGTAGGATTTCAATATCGAAAAGTAAGACATGGGAAGATAATTTTTAATTTTGTAAAGTAGTCCTGTATGCCATACTTTGTCGAAAGCCTGACTAGACTAACATTAAGAAACACTGATTTGCAATACTTTTTGTCCTCAAGAGTTTGAGTTATACTGCTGGTAATCCGATGTATCTGCTGAATAGTGGAATCTTTCTCGAAACCCAGACGAATAATATGAAAAACACTGCTTTGTGTTTTTGGAAGAGGAGTGGATAGCTGAGCTGCTTCCTGAAGGACACTGACTAAGGTCGCAACTGCTTCGTCTATTTCGTTAGTTGTTTTAAGACTTACTTTAATATTAACTTTGTTTTCAATTTTACTGCGGTAATCATCCCAGTTTGTTCTTCGATTGTGTAGTCTAGGAGTAGCGTCCTTATTATTAGACAAAAAATAATAAAAAAATGGTAAACATTATTAAATAAAAAAGTACTAATAAGCTAAAGAACAATTTGGTGAAAAATATACACAAAGTCACTTACTTGTAAACAAATGGTCCTATTTCTTGTAGTTTGGGTTTTTCTCCTTGCCTGAGGAAGCCGTCTGGATTCGAAACGTTGAAAATGTACACTTTGGTTAATCGAATCACTCCAGGTTTTTGCCAGTAGTGGAAACTAAACGATCCTTCTCTAAGTTTTAAATTCTGGAAAAAAAAATAGAAACGATAGTTAACTATAAGCGATAGCAATTAAACTTTTGGTCACGTAATCGAGGGCGCGATTTTTAAATTCATTGATGCCGACCACGGACATATTCGGCGCCGGACTGACTAACTGGAATTTAAATTTCCCGCTGGCGATTCAGGCGGTAGCTCTGCTGTAAAAAATGTCAAGTTGCCACATTTATTTATTTATTTCCAGACATTTTCGTTCGTTTTGACACATTACTTTTGTTTTACGCGTTTTTGGTTTAAATAAATAATGGTGTCATACTTTAAGCTTAAAAATGTTTACTAGCAGACCTGGCAGTCGAACAATGTTCTTTTTAGAACGTCTTTTAATACGAAGTGTACAAGATACGGTAATCGCAAAACATTTTCCGATGTGCGTCATCAATCATATCGAAATTGACACTAAAGCCTATTAACCTGACTAAATGAAATTTTGGCAAAAATGTCTAAATTTGTTGTATAATTTAAGATACCGAGCAGCTCTTCATTTTATTTTATAGAGTAAATGATTGTAACAGATATTTTATTTAGATTAAAGCTGCAAAAATTGCTTTAAAGCGATTTTTATTATCGCCATGTTGGTCACATTGCGTCGCGATCCGTAACGTGTCGTTTATTTTGATTATTTTTGACAATTACCATAATGTCAGTCATTATTTTGTATATCAATTTGTTGTTGAATCTTTAGGAGTAATTCTCGTTTTCTTTGCCGATTTTCGTAGTATTTTTTTAAATTGTACTTTTAAGCACAAACAATTCTTTTAAGAAGTAAATTTTCGAGTTTTTGTCTTGCATTTCTTGAAATTATGTGTTGAAAATAACCCGAAGCATTAAAACAGGCGAAGCAAAGGTTCTTTATTACCCTTGACTGCAGTCAGAGAGGCAAGTTTGATTGGTAAGCACATTATACCACTTTCAAAGTTATTTCTACTTATTTCGATTTGTAGCGAGTAACTGCTGACTTAAATTTAAATATATATTTATACTCTGAGTGTTAGTGACTACTGTTTTCCAATTTTACATTAAGATTCATCTCATAAATCCAAGACAATCTGGCAGCGCTGCCGCCATAGCTTGTCACTCAAAGGTGATGACGTGCATCGGAAATTGTTTTGCGATTACATTAGCTTAATAGCCCATGCAAAAACTCATAGCAACCTTGCTAGAATATTTTTTGGTCGGGAAAGCCGTAGTAATGGTTAAGTGCTTTGTGCTGTTAAGGAGGTGAGTTTTGTTGATGTAAATAATAACTGTTTATATGTTTATAATTAATTTATTTTTGTTTCGTGGGTAACGCGGGGCCGATAGAGCTTAATCATGTGACTAAAAGTTTAATCGGTATGAACTATAATTATCCAAAATCATAGAATATTTCATTTGAATTACGAGAGTAAAGCGGATTTTTGTATAAATGATCGTAAGTGGCAGGCTGCCTACGAATAGGCTGTGGAATAATTTAATTAGAAAATACGTGCAACGGACTCTCGAGGCTCAAAATACGGGCAACAGCCATTAAAAAAACTGACCGATAAAAGTAAAATATTGGTCAGAATGTCAGTAGCGTTTCCGGGTGTTACAATGAGCAGCGGCCAGGTAGAAGGTAAAGAAAAACAACGTTAATAGAAGTGCCTGGCCCGGTGAACACTTTTTATGGCTGAATGTGACTACGGTCGAGCTATCCGCCGAGCTGTTACGTAACCAAATTGCTCCAATAAATTTCTCCTCAAGAAATGGCGCTTTTATTATTTTCACGCGTGTATGGCGCGATCAGTGGCGGTTCGTCAGGGGCAAAAAAGGATTTATGGTTGATTAATAAGTTTTTTTTTCTAATAACAAGAGGTCGAAAAAATACTGCGACCTGTCAGGCCTATTGTGTTTGTCCCCTTTTTATATCTGCACCCATTCTCCTATCCCTGTACCCTGCACCAACTTATGCAGGTCCTTGATAGGATGGGAGCATAGTTCCTCCGGTTCTAGCCTAGCCTTCCCAAATAAAAAGGGTCGTTTGCGATCCAGAGCTTCGCAGTGACATATTATGTGCTCCGCTGTTTCAGGATCTTTATCGCAGAGTCTGCAGCGAAGATTTCCTTGATACAGGTTGAGCTTGTTCAAGTAACACTTGACAGCCATGTACCCTGTCAAGAGGCCTGTTGTAATCCGCACTTTATTCCTGCTAAACATTAGCAGTTCTTTTGTGGTTTTGGATCTAGCTCCTTGAATAAATGTCTTGTTGTGCCTGTGCCCCTTCTGTTAATAGAAGTAGAAGTAGAAATCCCTGATCCAGAGTTTTAGTGCACTACGGGCCATACATTTGGATATTCCCACTACTGGCTCTGGATCAAGATAGGATGCCGATGATTCTTGCCTAGCTAGTTCATCGGTTTTTTCGTTGCCTTGGGCGCCGCTGTGGCCAGGGGAACCCTGATTAATAAGTTAATCTTACCCTTAACATTAACCCTGAGAAATTATTCTTAATATCATGTCCTAAGGAAATGCATTCCATACTTCTTCAATTGGTCTTAAGAATATTCAAGTATGCGTTTCTTTTAGAGGGCATGAAACTTTAAAAAAATAAACGGCATTTTTAGCCGACCATACCAACAGGTATGGTAGGCTATTAAGATCGGCAAAAAATTTTTTTTTAATTTTACTCAAAATGAGTTATTTGGGTCATAAATGACCTAAATACAGAATATTTTCATGGTGTCTGTTTGTCTGTCCGTCTGTCTGTAACACGATAACTCAAAAACCGCTAAACCGATTTTAACCAAATTTGGCACAAAAATACTGTGTCACCCGAGAATGTGGCCATTAGTTTTTGGCGGGGGTGGGGGGTTGGTAAGGGGGTATAGGAGGGGGTTAAAAATTTAAAAAAATCGTAACTCCAAAATTACAGTAGCTAGCGAAACGCGGTTTTCAATTTAAGATTAGGAATAATATTTGCAACAAAATTTGTAATAACATCAAAATCAATCAAAGTCGCAGTTTTTGAGATAATTGAAACTAAAAGAACTGCCTACAAACTTTATTAATATATTTTAGTATGGGCGGCTATACGTGCCTCCCGGCACCAATTTTTTAAGATATTTTAGAAACCAATATACAGATTTGAAAGATATTTGTGGTGCCTATGTTTTGCTAAGCGCTTTGATATTTGACTTTAACAAAAAATAAGAAAAAGTAAAGGAAAGGTGAAAACTAACGGACAAACAAAGCATTTTTGTAGAGAGGTAAATTGTGTCCAATGAACTTATTTTCTTATTTCTGAAAGTACGTATCCTGTATATTATACCCTGTATATTATATATATTTTGATATTTGAAAATGCTATTATTGGTGTCTATGTTCATAAAACGAGCCGTCACTGGTATAAGGAAACCATTTTTTAGTCATTGCTCGCTTAACGATATCGTCTTTATTGTCGGGCGATTACAAAATAACGATTATTTTAAACGGTATATTATCACCACTTACCTTAACTATTATATAATCTAGCCACGGGATGGAAGACAAAATAATACCGATGGCAAGCGTGAACAGTCCTAATATGATCACCGACAGTCTACCTGAAATTAAAATGAACGATTAAGATGTCATATTAAACAAGAAACAATGTCATTCCCCCCAATCATCTGACGCCGTTTTTTTTCGATCATACGGTATATAAAAGTTCTTACGAAGAGGGTTGAAAGATGCGACATTTTAAATTTCGTCCTGTATTTCGGGAACTAATAGACCGAGAGCTGGCTACATCAAAAAACCTTATCATTGGCTAGTTTTGTGTGTGAAGTATCCTTTTGTGTAGCCATTATGAAATAGTCATGTCTGCCAGCCCGATCCCGGGGCTTAAAGCGGGGGCGGCCAATCGAAAGGGTAAAATTTTGACACTAAAAATATTATAAGGTACACGAGTTATAATTGCCAAATAGCTTTTATTTATTATTAGGAAACGTGTAAAATTGTTAACAGACATTTTTCTCGTGGCTGAAATGCCGGCAGACAACGCGAAAGAGGCTTAGAATTTTGACAAAAAAAAATCATCGCATACATGCATGTCGGTTGGTGGAATATCATGTTTATTGTTAATTAATTTAAAAAGCCGTATGCAAAAGGGCAGACAAAAAAATCGTTATTGAAATAATAAAAAAATATATTTATAATATAATCGTATATTATATGATTTATCTATACTTAAATGGATGAGGCGGCCAGCGTTCCCCGAATACAGCGATAGAGTAATATCGCGCTTTTGATAACTGTCTGCAGCTGATTGAGCCACGATCTTTTTGTCTGCCCTTTTGCATACGGCTTTTTAAATAAATATGACATTTCACCAATCGGCATGCAAATATGCCATAATTTTTTTCATTCTTCAGATTTCATTTTTTAATCATTTTTAAAATTTCATGCCTTTTTCGCGTTGTCTGTCGGCATTTTAGCGACTAGAAAAATGTCTGCCAACAATTTTCCACGTTTCTTAATAATAAATAAAAGCTATTTTCGCAATTATAACTCATGTATCTTATAATATTTTTAGTGTCAAAATTTCACCCTTTCGATTGGCCGCCTCCGCTTTAAGCCCCGGGATCGCGCTGGCAGACATGACTATTTCATAATGGCTACACAAAAGGATACTTCACACAAAAAGTTAGCCATGTAACGATGATAAGATTTTTTATGTAGCCAGCTCTCTTAGACTATAAGAAGGCTAGGACAAAATTGTGTACTCGTACATAGGTATAATATTCCTATGTAAAATAGAAATTTGTATTTGTAATTTTAAATAATATAGCGAGTTGCTGATGCTTTAGAAATTTCTTCAGCAGTCCAAAGGATTGGAACTAAAGGAATCGTAACTGATGTAGAGTTCAATAAAAAATCAATAAATACCGAAAAAAAACCGAACTCGTTCAATCAATAATATGGGAACTTACTTAAAATTGAAACAACATATGAACTGATCCCAGACACACCCTAAAAGCCATATTTGACATATAATGATGACGTACGGTGAACGATGAATTAGTCTTTATTTATTTCTTTAAATAAAATTTTAAGTGGGATGAATAAGGAACCGAAAAAAAATAAAATAAAATACAAATTGTTCGCGAATACTCAAAATTATAATAAATATTAATAATATTAAAATTAAATCACTATGAATTAATTATGTAACACTAGTTCAGTAGGCCAAAAATTCCAAATAACCATCTGAGACCTGAGACATCACATAATATTCATTTCTTCGAAATTGAAAGTGTGACGTGGAAGGTAGGTCAAGTTTTGATCGAAAATCTTCTTCGACGTTAAGATACCAATTATATTTAATGTAGGTACTGATGCCGATAGTCGACAGCTAGAGTGCCTCTTTGAAGTCTTTGCGTACGGGTACCACCAACAGCCTCAGAGTATTAAATTTTATTTGCCATCTGTATAAAAACTTGTGAACTCATATTTTCCTAAATACATCTCTGTGAAACTATGGCGAGTGCCACGACTATATTTTGCCTAGTTATAGACCACGACTATACAGCTACGTCAGTGGTCACGGGACTCGAGAACAAGGTCATATAAAGTGGCAGAAAAAAAACAAAGGATTTGACAAGGAGTAAAGCTACTATAATTTCCTTATTCTTCTTCTTCTCAGCCATTACTCATCCACTGCAGAATGTAGGCCTCTCTCAGTTTCTTCCACTCGTTTCGATTCTGTGTTCTCCTCATCCAGTTCTTACCGGCTACGGTTTGGATATCATCAGTCCATCTTTTAGGAGGTCGGCCGACTGGGCGTTTTGCTAGGCGTGGCCTCCAGCAAAGAAGTCTTTTTGCCCATCTTTCCTCGGACTGTCTGGCCAAGTGTCCTGCCCAAGACCATTTAGAGTTAGCTATCTACGATGCTATACGCCTCTCTACGATGTCCGTTATCCTCGTCTGTCGGCGAATGTCTTCATTTCTAATGTGGTCGCGAAGACTGATACCCATCATGGCTCTTTCCATAGCTCTTTGGCTCACTCGCAACCTGTTCACACTTCGTGCCGTCATCGTCATAGTCTCCAAACCATAGGTCATGACAGGCAAGACGCATTTGTTGTAAACATCTCTTTTTAGGCTATTTGGGATTTTGCTTTTGAATATAAAGTTAAGTTTACCAAAAGCTGCCCATCCTAGTTTGATCCTTCTAGAAATTTCGGTTGTTTGATTTTCCTTGCCGAGTTTTATGGCATGACCTGGTTTCCTTATACTATGCTTTAACTGTCAATAATTAAAATATCTCTTTTTCGTTACTCTGAGTTGCAGTCTGTGGACTGGACCGCTTTCACTAGCAGCGTTTACTCGGTAGCATGTGCTCCGAGTCGGCCTTGCAAAGACACCGTGATTACGTAACCGGAATGTCAGGCGGATTGCCCCTTCTGGTCGTTTTTCCTTCTGCCACATTTTATGAAACTTTGCACAAGATATAAGTTACGAATATCATTAAGGTTCTGTTTATATGTGACGGTAAACACGTAGGTACCTTATTGAAACCTGATATAGTATAGTGACGCGAGATTGTTATTGAATATACTTACGGAGGCCCTGAATGTTATTTTTATGTAAATTTTTGGTCTGTTGTTTTCATAAATGTTTTTTTTTTATATATTATCACTAAGTGATCTAATGTGTCTTAGCACTTCTCCTATTCATATGGATAAGATGGATAAAATATATTTAAGATGGATTTAGCAAATGGATAAAAAATAGAATAATTTAATCTATAATAAGTTTTATAGCCTCAGGATGCTGTTCTATTTTACTTGACAGAAGTCTTGGTGATCTCTTACTCTATCCGAGAAAATTAGTAGAAGATGCATGATAAAAGTTTTTGATTGAATGTTGATGCATCATAGACACATTGACACATCTTTGTAGTTTATATTAACAATAATTATTCAAAACTAATGAGATTTCTAATAATATTAAATTCAATGTCATATAAGCACAAAAAAGAATAAAAACTTAGGCTTAACTGGGAAAAGCTAGTTAAAATTACACATTAAAAATTATCTTTAAATTTGAATACCTTGTATATCGAAAATTAAATTGAATAAGAAAAAATATATACCCAGTTTACTTTCTAAAACTAATTATAAATAACCAACAACAATATTTTACAGCACCTAAGAAACACCCAGTAATATACTGTCATAGGTAATTTATTTTGGGAAACTAAATCATGGTTTTCGGGAGAGTTAGGCAACCTAAAGGGTATTTGTTGGTTAATGTTGGTCACGAAACTTCGTAGTTATGAAGAAAAAAGGCTAATAATTGTAACCTACATCATATTTTTTTGGAGCAATTTGGAGCATTTTGTATTAGCTTACCTAAAATGTGATTTTAGATTAAGCAGTTCTTAATTACATCAAGGTCTTTATTGATTTTTTATGGTACCAGGGAAGTCAAAACTAGAATTACTACGAGGGAAAACAGTTGAAAACATTCTACTTTCTCAGAGTACCATCAGTTTTTAACTAATTTATCATCAACGTTAAACGCACTAATTTTCTTTAATCAAAATTTAATCATAATGTTTTAGCTTCAGCTAATAATCTTATAAGCTCGAACATTTTTCTTATCAGGGATTAATAATGGGTCCGTTTTTATTCAAAAATCTTCACGATTCTAAAAATATGGACTAATAGGAAGTATACGAGTGAAATTATAATTAAATAGAAATACTTCTGATATTTTGATTTTTTGCCGCTATTGGGAACTTCTGCATCACTGTGCGGCAGTCTGTTCAACATAAAAAGACTCAGAGCGAAAACACATGTAAAATTCATCACAGAATTTCCATATGCCGAACACATATTAGTGAAAGAAATGCTGAACATACAACAGTGCTATAAAAATCGGAAAAGAACTATTGGAATATGTGGTGGAATTCAATTACCTCGGCAGTTTGATTTCGGAAAAGACCAATATCGAATCTTAAATTCAGTACAGAATTAGTCACGTATGCAGGATGCAAGAAAACCATCTACCAAAATCTCTTCTTTACGGCCAGCTTGTAGAGGGTAAGAGGAAACCGGGTGGACAACTCAAAAGATACAAGAATATTTTCCACGAAAATTTAAAGGGTATAAGCTTGTAGAATCAGAGGGAGGAAGCAGTTCATAGTAGAACGCAATGGAGAGGAATTGTAAACTCAGTTAACAACGACAACAAAAAATTAAAGAGGCAACAAAGTAATGATATTTTTGACCGGATTGCGGAAGACAGTATCGGGCTTTTCAGTTACAGAATGTGTGTCAAATACTCGTCAGCGAATAATGGCAGTATTAGTATTAGAGGGTTGAAAATTAAAAAAAAGTTTTTTTGCTTACATTTTCAGAACCGCTGGATTTTTTTTTGGATTTTCGTTCCTCTAAAATTAAATTCTACTACCCATGTTGTCATATCCTCAATATATTATGTTTTTAACTAAAAATTCACTAGTTTTCGCAAACTTGTTTTGAAAAAATACAAAATTTTCAGATTTTTTCTCGCGAAAAAGCCCTCATAGACGTGTTGCCATCGAAATATATCACCCCTAAAAATGTGTGTACTTATTTAAGACGCTGGGAATTGCCAAACTTACCATGACTAAAATGTTGCGATATAAGCATCTGTAAGGGAAGGTGATGATTCGTACCATCGCTTTGATTGCTGATGCCCAAAAGGTGATTCCTTGCTCTTTGCGTCAGTCGAAAGTACTGTTTATATAGTCCCATCGTATGCCTCATACGATTTTAATCCTGAAAAAAAGGAAAATTTTTAATATCCAGTGTTATAAAATAACCATTTCACGACAAAATACAAGCATTATACAGGGTGAGTGTTAAATAAGTGCAAATATTGTCAGGGCTGGTAGATCTCGATAAAAGAAACATATTTTCTCTTTACCATTTTTTAGATAAGTCCAAAATAACCGAGTTGTTTAAGTTTGAAAATTTAAAAAAAATTGATTTTTTTTGAAAAAATTTTGAGAGCCACCAGATTTTTTCTTTATTTACATCCCTTTTATTGCCGTAACCATAGAGTAAAGCCGTAACTATGGTAATATCTGAGATTAAGAAATTATACCCTGAACAAATTTGCGGTGAACTGGCAGTTCTAAAAAGTTTTCGAAAAATATAGTGGGAAATTTAAAAAAAATGCATGATTTTCAACATCTTTTTTTAGCGAAAAAAACCTCATAGACGTGTTCCTGGGGTCGAAATGTACCATCCCTGAAAAACCCCACTTATTTAAGACTATATTTATTTTATTTAAGACTGTATTTGACATGAGCAATTTGATTTTGATGTCAATATAACCACCCACATATGTTTTAACTGATTTGAAGAGTAATAACTTTTCGTCCGTACCTGTATAAAACCACTGGGTTTTCACCCAGTGGTTTGTGTATAATATACAAGGTGGAACAAACTGTATTCCGGAAACTTCGGCAGCATATTCTGCAGATAAAAATAAGTAAAAAAGTTTGTTTAAATGTATGTCCTAAAATGCTTAGTTTTGGAGATACAGGGTGTAGAAATTTCACTTTTATTTCGATTTTTTCCAAATAATTTCTGAAGTAACGTCAATATTTGGATGAAAATTGGTCTCTGGGAGTTTTTGACCTGAGAAATTTGATTTTGATGTCAATATAACTCCTATTTGTAGAGGGTGCCACCTACATATTTTTTAGCTGGTTTGAAGAATAATAACTTTTGGTCTGTACTTGTATAAAACTACTGAGTAAAAAAATATACATTTACGACGTTTTTTACGTAAAAAAGGTCTCTTGGTAAAAATGGCTACAAGTAATGGTTCCCGAGATATTTAAAATCGAAATTATTAATACTTTTTTTTTGTTTCGTTTCTTTGACCTGTATACTATAATATATTTTTTCTTTTTATTCTTGGCTTTAGGTCGTTGGGGTTGCAAAGATGTTACTAGAATTTGTTCATTATTTTATTTTATGACGACGTTTCGACGGTATATGCGTTTTTCAAGCCTCTTGAACGTAGATTCCTACAGAATTAAAAATTGTTAAAACTGGACAAAACACAATAACACATATTAAAACTATTATTTTAATTGTTTTTGGACATCACACTTTAGTATAGAGCACGTATGTATTTTCTAGCAGATTAAACGTGTAAATTACGACGATTTACACAGCTATAATTCTGTAGGAATCTACGTTCAAGAGGCTTGAAAAAGACATTTACTGTCGAAACGTCGTCATAAAATAAAATAATGAACAAATTCTAGTAACATCTTTGCAACCCCAACGACCTAAAGCCAAGAATAAAAAGAAAAATAATTATCAATATCTGTCATCATTGACATAAATTAAACATGTTGACTAAATAGTTATTAGACTGAAATCATAAATTTGAAATGTTTTTGTGCCAAAAGTTCAACAGAAGCTGTTTTATAATCATTTTTTTTTCAGGAAAAATTATGATTAATTTAAAAAAATCAAAATTTCCCAAATTTATTATTTCAGTCAAATAACTATCTACTGAACATGTTTATTTTTTGTCAATAATGACATGTATTTACTATTAGAGACATTTTTTACGTAAAAAGTCACGGAGATGTATATTTTTTCACTCAGTAGTTTTATACAGGTACGGACGAAAAGTTATTACTCTTCAAAACATTTAAAACACGTGTAGGTGGTGCCCCCTTCAAATAGGAGTGGTTTTAACATCAAAATCAAATTTCTCATGTCAAAAAACTTCCCGAAACCAATTTTCATCCAAATATTGACGTTACTTCAAAAATTATTTCAAAAAATGGAAATAAAAATGAAACTTCTACCCACTGTATCACTGAAACTAAGCATTTTAGGGCATACGTTCACACGAATTTTTTTATTTATTTTTATTTGCAGAATATGCTGCCGAAGTTTCCAGAATACAGTTCGCACCACCCTTGTATAGTGTCAAAATATCTATAAAAAATAATAATGCTGTTCAAAAAGCTGGTTGCTGTAACACGTAGATTGAGTTTAATAAACACCAAACAGCCAAAACCAAAGGAAACACGAATTTCATTAGTAAATTATTATTTTCGCGGTTGCCAAACGTGTCATTTTCGTAACGCGACTGTAATTTTACTTCTTGGAAAGTACGGGCCAATTAGAGACGTACGTCTCTCATACTGGATTTATACGTTTGCAGCTATGATTTGTATAATTACATTTTTCGTACTAACTATTATTGCGCATTCTGTTTTGACCATATCATTAATTTAGCTTTTAAGATTTTAAGTGCTTACTCAATTGGACAGTTATTGTGTGATATTTTAATTTTAAATTAATTAGATTTTAGAGGTGACATGAATATACCGGGTGCGTCTCAAAAGTGGCTCACCTCTGTAACTTTTTTATTTTATTAGATAAATCAACGAGATTTGGTATGTTGGTATATGACATAAATTAGGATTTATTGACATATTCAATTGTTTTCGGCCACTTCCCGTTTCACCGGAAATGACTACAACTTTTGATTTTTAAATGGCACCGTCGGTATTTTTTTACTTTATTTGATAGAAAACGTCACTCTGAATAAAATGACATATCATATGTCAACTTTTGACATTTTCGCATATGGTTTATTTGAAATTATAACTTGCGGTTCGTAACGAAAACCACCCTCGGTATTTTTTTACTTTATTCGATTGAAAATGACACTCTGAATAGAATGACACATCATATGGAAAATTGGTGTTTTGTTTTGCTTTGTTTTTTGAAAATAAATAGTTTTTTAACAATTTTAGTATCTAACAGTTGGAAGGCGGTTTACAAAAAATTCTGCCAATTTTGTACAAAAATACAAAATCACAGAGAAGTATGTACATACTCGTATATGGCACATATATCTAAATAATAGGGTCATATCATTTTCCTTTTAAGCGATTTTTAATTTTTCTTAATGCACATTAATTAATTTTACACTTAAAAACGCAAAACAATTTTCAGACCCTTAGTTTATTAACTAACTACATTAAAAACAAATTTAAATAACATTAAGAATATTGCACGTCAATATAATTACCGACACACAAGAGGGGTTATTCCTATAATTATGTCAAATAATAAAACTAATTAACAAATATGCCATTTATATCATTTATCATTCAAAAAGTTATTTGGCCCGAAGATCGAACGCGTACTTTTTAGTTACTGGTTCAGTCTGATCTCTTTTTAGTTACTGCGTCAATTGTCAATTGCATCAATAACATTAAAACAATTTTTTAGAAAAACTCGCTATCATAATGGTCTATTAATTATTGTGTGTTTAAAAATTGTTACCTACGCCTGGCAAATAAATATGAAAAAAAAAACATTAAAAATAATAATAGATCTAGAAAAATATTAATAGATACTGCCAGTAGCGCCGAATGCGTTGGGGCGCTAGGATGTATGAAGAAATAATGCTAAATAATACTAGTTTCACTTGGAGCGGCCCAGATGTTACGGCACTGTCTAATACTATACTAAGGGCTGGCAAAGGTTAGTCTTGGGTCGAAATTTCCGTATGTAAGAAGAGTACAATGCGTTTATAATGTACTGAACAAAGAGAGGACAGTAAACACGTTGCCAAACGTATGAAATAAACCGAGAAACTGTGCACATCGCTAAGAGACGTGTTAGGGATATAGCAGATTTGTCGCAGTTGACCGGTCGACCCAATCAATACCTCTGTTAGTACTTTGTAACTTCCAGGGAACGGTGTACGTCATGCGTTCAGCTTCACGATTTAATTACGTCTCGTGATACTTGATTTGTTTATTTATTAACGAGTCGTTGTAATTTTCCCTATAGCTTGAATTTTTCTAAGTGCAAGCTAGAAACATTTGCAGTTTTGGTAAAAATAAGTGGAATTGAGTGGGTATTCGATAGTGGTCGCGCTATTATAAATCTATTAGAAATAATAGATTGTAGTTTTTTCAAGAACTTAAGTCTAGAATAGTCTATTATGCCCTTTTTGAGTCGCATCTTCGTTATGCCCTTCCATTTTGGGGTACTTGCTGCGCGACAAAATTTGATCGTATTTTCAAACTTTAAAAGAGAGCAGTTCGATATTTATTGGGACTGAACAGTAGAACTCACTGCCAGAATTTCTTTAAAAAATTCAAAATACTGATTCTTCCTTCTTCATTCATTTTTGAATCCGTTTGCTTAATCCGCAAGCATATATCTGCTATTCCCGAAAGGCCATCTTACAACTATCCACTTTGGAATGCGAAGCACGATCTTTATCTGCCAACCCCGAGCTCAGAACTAGTTAAAGGCTCAATACTTTACAATGCCAAAAAATCTACAATCATCTGCCTTTAAATATCAAGTCGCTTTCATTCTTTCCCGCATTTCGCAAAGCTCTGAAATCATACTTACTGGAGAGAGCCCTGTATGCAGTAAACGACTTTTGTGTTTTATTTTGCTAGTAATTATTAATATTAGAAACGTTTTCTCTATATCGCGACTTATTTCTTATTATTTTATGCGATTTCTTTCAACAAATTGTCGTTAAATTGAACATTATAAAGTCGCAAAACGCAATCAAACAATTATTAAAAGAAAACTGTGCTCTGTAGTAATGCAGTTGAGTCCCCATTTGAAGAAAAATTAAGATAGAATTACGCAGTAATTGTGATTTACGTTAGATTGCATCAAGCAAAGCCATCTGCCTTTTATTAGCCAAGAGAACTTAGCCTTTTGTAATTATGTAATTTTTATTATACAGGATTTTTCAC